TTGGGAAGTTGCATACCAAAGAGATTCTTCAACTAAAAACGCTTTGGCAATATATTTCTTTTTGCTTATTTTTGAATTTCCAGTGAAGCAGGAATAGAAAAAATAACAAGGCACCAGGTATTATGTAAATAGGTCCCTTAGCTAGAATGATTGGAGGAAAGTGAGCTCGAATAACATTAAAGCCAAATTATCCTTGAAATCTATGTCACCATGAAAAATGCACATAGCTCAAAAGTAACCAAGTCATCAACAAAATTTGAAAAACTATACAAATAACATGAGTTTGTTATAGAAGCTGATAATTTAAAGTGTGTTTTGCTTTAAGTTTACAAACACAACCCGTATATCAGAAAAAATAGCTAGAATTAGTAGAAGGAGCCTTACAAATACTTAAGTCTCCAGTGGACTACCTAAGGTTGAGAAGTGCAGTGTTGACTGAATTTATTACTAGACATGTCTTTCCTGTATAGGCATTGGCACAACAGATTTTCATGATTCCTTGTCTTCCTTTGTATTTAGCCCACAGAGGAGGTAATAAGTGTCACTGATTAATCACAGGTAAAAAAAAAAAAAAAATAGGGGTGTTCTTGTTCATTTACTTCAGCAAATTGAGATGTGGGGAGGAATAAAAAGGTTTCATGAGGCCTACTGTGATTTTAATTGAGAGTCACTGGCTGACCCACAGCAAAAGCTTATTGTGTGAGCAGTTGGACAAAATTTGAAAGCAACCTGAAAGCAATCCCCAAGCAGCTAACTCTGAAATTTGGAAGTTGAGTTTATGGAAGCTATAGAATATTTGTTTACAACCAGGAGTCATTTCGCCCCCTAGGGTACTTTTGGATGTCACAACTCACAGGGGTAGGGGAGGTGGGGCTGCTTCTGCATCTAGAGGATAGAGACCAGAGATGCTGCTTAACAGCTTAACATTCATAGAAAATCCCCCACATTAAATAATTAACCAGATCCAAATGTCAAAAAACCCTGATCTATAACCATGTGGTGGAACACAGTGGTACAGTTACCGTGGCTTATGAAAGAAGAAACTACATTTGCTACTTTATGGGTTTTAAGCAATACAAGAATTTACTGACAATACATTGTAACTTTCTTTGGATTTGTTGATATGAAAAGTTTAAAAATATGAGAAAGGACACTCAAAAAACAACTAACTAGTGAAAGAGAGAATTTTTACTGACAGAAGTAGAAGAATCAATTACTTGAATTATAATAGCTAAACATTACCATAAAGTTTCTAAAATTGCTGGAATGAGTTATTTTTGTCTGTATCCTCTATACGTCCACTTTCCCTAAACACCCACTCACCAATGCTTGAATAAAGATATTTGTTTCAGAAATTTTCTTCCTTAAACTTCTCTTTGGTATACCCCCACAAACCTCTGTGAATCATTCAATCTGCCTTATTTTTTTAAAAAAAATTGCAATAAGAGAAATGCTTATTTTCATGTTTATGCTACTCAGAATTTTCTACAGTATTTGTCTTTTCTTTTCTCTCCCCCTAACATGTCTTTTAATTTCTAATACTCTAGTGAAACTGGCTAAAAGTAATATGAGTATTTCATTCCTAATAAGGTAAAAGCTCTATGAGGTAGTTTGTGTGAAAAAGAATTTGCTTTGGTCATTATTAAGAGAAACCTATAGAGAATCTATAATAAATGAATGTAGAAAGACATGAGTTTATTCTTTCAAAATAAAATTAAACATAGATGGTAAAGTAGCATGGTAAAAAGTTTTAGACAGGAAGGATTTTAGACTTGAGATAGGTTAACATTTCCTAACAGTAGAGGTATTTAAAGGTGATTAAAAGCTGTACAGAGTAGATAAACATGGAATATCTTTCTCTTTTTCTTTCCTTCTCATATCAACTTAAAGTGGAAAGAATGGGAAAATAAGTAACTAAGGCTGAGAAATCATAGGCTGAGTAACAAGAGAGCAGCTGAAAGGATCCTTTTGGTACCCAGCTCAGCCTGAGACTCATAGAACTCTTTGCAACATTTGAAGCAAAGTTAACCCTAACATAAATTACAAAGAATTTGAGTTGCGTTTTGGTTAAATCAAGTACTTACTGGAAGAATTAAGGATTAGTTATAAAAAA